AGGCGAAAGTGGGTCAAACACAGTATTAGTATGGTGTTCCTAATAATCCTTTAGGTGAGTGTATATTATCTGCAAGTAGAGTATGTACAATTCAATAGAATTAAGTGCACTTTTTTCACAAGGTCACCTTATAGTCACCGTTTAGCATTGTCCTAAGATCACTCAAGACATCTTCAGTACCCCTAGCAAACACATTAACAGGGATTTTTTTACAGTCAAGCAATACTAATATCTAGAAAACATTATCATGTTAATGTTAGTTCTAACTTTAATTCAAAGATCTAAAGGTTCCATCAGGACAAAAACGCTAATTCGAAGGGACACTGTTGCATGAAATACCGTACAGAGATAAACCGATGAAAAGAAAGAGACTGCAGCCAGTAAGCTTTGAAACACTCTGGGCATGATAATATCCTCACCACAACAGCCGAAAATGAAAATGATGTGTAGCAATAAAAGACAAACCAATAAAAAAGGAAAGCAGTTTGAGTTTTTCTATTTCCACCTCCCCTCCCCTCCTTTTTCAATGGTCTGCCATCCCAGTACATCAAAGACTACACAAGACTTCGATAATAAGACCAGTGATTCACAGGGAGGATGGCAGAAAAGGTGAAAGACAAACAAGCTGCACCCTGCAAATGAGTAACTAAGACACTTTCAGCCCTTCATCTCTCAGGCTGCTGGTCTCCAGACCAAGTTAAGCTCCCAGGTCTCAGATCTATTGTACAAACACAAACGAATATGCTGCTCAGTGCTCAGACACACTGCGGTGGCGGCTTTACATCTAGATCTGGAAATGAATCGCACAGATCTTTTGTTTCTAATGCTAAGGTCCCCCAGGCCACCTCCCAACAAGGTTTAGAAAATGGAGAAATGGAGAAACAATATTGGGTCATCTCACTATTTGTATTACTTCACTTGTTTTTTTATTAGTGCTGGGGATTTTTCAGTAACTTTTTCTACAGGTTACATCATTATGTCAGTAGGTAGCAAAAATTGATTGGCTGAAAACTGATTCGTTCAAACACACTGTTTTATTCAACCCAATCTCACTAGAAAAGCAAACTATTTTACAACACGACCCTTAAATCTAGCTGTCAAAATGTAAATGCATGAATGCATTGAATTAGCCACCAATTCGCCAAAATAGTTGCGAATTGCCATGAGAGTGTGTTGGTTTTATTCAGGAAAGACTCTTTATGAGTCATTCATTGAATCATTTACTAAACCGTTTTATTCAGGAATTAAATATGTGTTATTCATATATGCGCAAATGCTGGTTCTGCTTTGTTTGTGGGGGGGGGGGGGGAGGTTGGGGGGGGGGGGGGGGGGGGGGGAATTATGACCAAAAATAGACGTGCATAAAATGTAAGTTACTCAATATTAATTTATTTTTTATTCAACTATAAAACAAAATCATCACCATGATGCAGCACTCTTGCTTGTATTATATTGCTGAACTTTCAATGTCTATAATTTCAAATTCACTTTTAATGTGTGAGGGACTAAAAACTTTGAACTAAAAACATTTCACTTCTTTAACTTGAGAGTTGTCTGGTGTTTTTTCAACACATATTTGTATCTGTATTTGATAAACAATAATTATTGGACTTCCTGGAGTTCCACTGTGGACCTCCTGTTGAAGACTTTTTCATCTTATGCAAAATAAAGATAAAAAAAAAAAAAATCAATAGATCTAGGAATGAATTCAACTGAAGAGAAAATATTTTTAAGCAATTGTTGACTGAAACCATGTGAATAGCGGTAGACAATCCAGGTTTTGCCAACAGAATATTCCTGATTTTTTAAATAACAGCACAGACAGAAAGCAGTTTTTTTTTCTTTGTTGCCGCTCTCATATTCCTCCTCATAATGTGTTATTAGCCTCGGACCCGTTTCTGTGCTTGAAAACTGAAAGCTACAGTACAGTCAGTTATTTCAGGAAGAAATTATTGCATATTAAAGCCAAATCACAGCAATGGATCATAAATAAGAACAAATGTAAAATATTCAGCTTCCTAAACATTCCATGTTTTGGTGTAAATTGTTCTACAAGAATGATTTTGTGAATAATATACACAGAAATTAATTTTGAATGAAGCCCTGTTACAAAGCTAAGATACATATATAGATATCTATAAGATAGATGTGTTTTTATACAAAATATTTTTCATTTAACAAGTCTAAAAAGATCTGTTACTGAGAGATTTTATTTTTGTCAACTTTTTTGTACCTAAAATTTGCTTAATTGTTCTTCGTTTAATTGTTAAACCCTCTTCATAATGGAAAACAAAATTTCCCATATCATATGTATTTTGACCTCATTAATGCTGATAGTCAGCATTTTCTGAAGTCTGATAAAAACTATTTTGTGCAAAAAGAACTAATCACATATTTCAGCCTAAAGGTTCTGTTTGTTTGTTTTTCTGTCCCTTGATATTACACACTCTCACTGTATTACACGTAATGGCACTGCACACGTAAATGGCTCATCAATATATCTGCACATAATGACACAAATGTGTCTGGATGGAACTGGGAAAATCACTAAATCCATGTTTTCTGACATTCTTTAATGCAAGCTATATGCATGCATGCATTTTACACTCCATTTTTAACTGAATTTTGTTGAAACAAGTCAGTCAATATCAGCCTTTCTGCTAATTATCTAGTTTCTAGCTACTAATTAGCCAACTGTAGATACTGTCAACTGCATAACCTTTAAGCATTGAGTAAAGCAATGCAATTAGTTTCAGATATTTGGATAGTTGTGTGGTGAGTGGCACCAGGCCCCCACTCTTTGCATGTATAAGTCAATTATAATAGCAGCCAAGAATCATTTTAAGACATGCACATAATGATGAATGCGAGCCATCCTCTTGATCAGCCTGACAAGTATAGACAATACAGTGTGCTACGTTCTACTGCCATCTGGTGAACAAAACTGTACTCAACAGTCTGCTGCTCTAAGCTTTATTATTTTATACTATCATGTTATTTATGAGTATCCAATCATTATAGCTATTAACCCCATAAAGCTTCTGTCGTCTGATTAATAGTTTATACTTTTAGTATGAATGTCCTCCAAGTTGTGGTAGACACGTCTTTCTGCGTGAATCTTCGCACAAATTACTTTTATATTGTTAGTAATATTTCAAGACTTACTGTACTAAAGCAACTTATGTTTACTTGATTATCCATACATTACAGATTACATCATTATGATACATCAGGGTTTTTTTTTGTACATCTCTTAATCATGATTGTATTGAGTTGGATTATACAATAAGAACTACAGAGCTTTGATCATAAAACGAATTAAATTTTTGTCTTATCTTATTGGGATATATACAGTAGAGTAATATCTGATATGTATATGCATGTTATGCAAGTAGTCTGTTAAACTGTTACAAATATCTCTTTGGTTTACATTAATGCTATCAGAATTTCACCTTAATTTCTTTTTTTTCTTTACGGTTTAACAAAATTGTTCCATAATCTGACTATTTTACATCATATGCCAGGCTAAATTTTCATTACTAACATTAACAAAAACAGTCACATTGGCTGCAGGGATGGTTCGCCAAAAAAAAAAAAAAATTCATCATTTATTCACCCACAATGTCATTCCTAACCCATCTGACTTTTTCTTCTCTGGAACACAAAATAAGGTATTTTCATAAAGATTTTAAAAAGGATAAAGATGTCTTTCTTTGTCCAAACAATGATGGTCCGATATTGTTTTTACTTTCGTTAAATGGACAAAGACTGTCAAAACATTTTTCTAAATATCTTGTATATTTAATATCATGTTCCACAGATGAAAGAAAGTCATACGTTTGGAACGACATGAAGGTTAGTAAATGACAGAATTTTTGTTGGGCAAACCCTCACTTCATTAGTTCATTAATGCGCATTCAAATATATTTGACTCATATACTTTTGTATTTGAATGTTTACAAACTACTGTTAAACATCATATCAATACACAGAATCCATCAATTATATATAAAAACACAGGCTATGTGAGTTCAGCTAAGTTTTATTCAATGAATTGAAGCATAATCAAAATTACAGTTCCGCATTTATTGAAGTTAAGGAACAAACCAATATATGAATGTCAATATGGAATCTTGAATAAAAAGGGAAGGCACAGATCTACAAAATATATGCATAGCATCTGCAATAATTAATAAGGTTTCTAATTCAAATTCAGATATAAAATATTTTTTTGGAGTGAACAGTTTAGTGAACTCACTCAAAGTGATTGACAACACTTGAAGGAGCCAGCAGAAGCTCTTGATTATGAATATTCTCATAACTGAATTTATATAACTGCAACACAGAAAACATCCAATTCTGCCTCAATAGCAAACAAATAAATAAACACATGGTTATTTCCTCCATCCATGTTACGAGGGATAATTGTCTCCTCATAGTTACACAAGTGGACAAGGTAGGTTAAAAACAAATAAATGTTTACCCACTGATTAAAAACATTAATATTAATAATAAAAATAGCACATGTAGTGGAGAGCTGATTTGCAACCGGTACCGTACAGTAAGACTTCAGTTTTAAATCAAAGATCTTTGGTTTCACAACAGACAATCTTTCAACACTTTTGTGATGTCAACAGGCAAAAGATCCCGGTTTGAGGAAAGAATCACATTACCTGAAATTCAGGAAACAAAATTCTGCAAAGTTATTGCTTGTTCATTATTATCAATCGCAGAGTGTCACAAGTATGTACATGTGCTCAAAAGGTTGATCTCAAGCTTTTTTAAAGAATGCCTGGTCAACATCTGGTCGACTATAATATAAAAACAAACATGTAGCATAAAACAATCAGATTGATTAATTTAACAGCCAATTTAGATGAAAAACGTTTTAGATAATTTTTTTTTTTTTTTTAATTATGTAGTCAATATTGACCAGGGCACTGAAAATTACCTATACATCCAGTGTTAGAACAAAGGCCTTTCATAAGCAGAAGTATACATACAGAAAAATGTTTCTTTATTAAGGCATTTCTACAGAGGTAATTCTATAGGGTATTTCAGATAACTACTTAATATAAAAAAAAACACTATCCTTCATAAATGAAACACCCTGTTCAGGTAAAAAGTGCGTATAGTGTAAATGTCTGCCCTTGATTTGAGCCCCAACAGACATAAGGCCGCATCAACAGCAATGAAGCGTTGAAGGAAGGAATTAATGAACGCAGTAGTCAAGATCGAAACAAAGCACTTCAGAGAGAAGGAAAATATTCAAATACAAACTTAAGACTTCAATAAATAATGCATTAAGAAGCCCTCTCTTTGCCTAAACGGAAAGGTGCACAGAAAGACAATGATATGCTCAATAAATAGGATGTGTTTGTTGTTGGGTAGCTTTTTGGAGGGAGATCGTACCATGATCCAATCAGAAAAGAAAAAAAAACACCAAACAATAACAAACTGCAGAATTCTGGAATAGTTGGACCTGATATACGATCAAACATCCACATAGTAAAAAGAAGTTATTTGTAAGATAGTGGTGGTGAAATCAGAATGTGAAGTGGTGCATTAAATATTAAAGCAAATAAACTGATTATGAGTTGTGATATTACATTCAGCCTGAAATCCAAAATCCTTCTGTGCATAGCAGGCAAATCCCACAATATTAAAGTGTCTGAGTGTTATGATCAGGGCAAATGTTCTGATCAAACCCTAACACTTGGAATGAAGTGAAAGCAGGATGGCCGGTTGTTCCTCCATGACGCGAACTAGCAGGTTATCAATGTATTCCTCCAACTCCACGATCCTGGCATCTTTTCTGGATAGTTCAGCCTGTTGCTTTACCACCAGCGTGATCAGTTCCTCCTGTGTGAGCTGGGTGAACGGACCACTCTCTCCAATCTGGATGCGCAGTGAAATGAAGGAACACAGGAAAAAAAAAAAGGGAGTATAAGTTATACAGTACCAATCAAAAGTTTGGATACATGTGATTGATGTTTTTCATTATCCTGAAAACTATGGATGGACTGATATTGAAATGTTGGCTGATACCGATAATTATTTACATGTTATTGGCCGATATCAAAATTCTGTAATATTTTGTCTAAATAAATGAAAAAATTTACTAAGATCAATTGTTTTAAATGATACACGTAAAAGTAGGGTCACAACATTATATTGTACTGTATATTAAATGTAATCTAAATTAAGTTCCATTTTTTTTTGGTGTTAATAATAGATTAAATTTTTTTTAAATTTACTTTAGGCGAGTGAACATAAAATACGAGAAATGACCATGCGCACTTAAGTACCCCAAATTAGCCGATACTGGTTTAAAAACTAGAATCAAATTTAAAATGATTTAAACAAATTTTGCCAGCATATGTTTTTCTTTACACCATTTTTTTTATTCCCATCTGTTAATTTGTGTTATTTAACAACTAGTTGTATATTATATTCAACTTATTCTTATTCAACTTGTGCTAAATCAGGGGTCGGCAACCTGTGGCACATGTGCCAACATTGGCACGTGAGCAAAAGCGAGAGAGGTTTACTGTAGGTGAACATGATTTCATCAAGTACAACATGTTCCTGGATCAACATCTTTGTTGATCCTGGAACAACATTCCAATCAACTAATCAGATACGAGGGACAAGTTTACAGTTTATGTCAAGTTTAGGCTTACAGCCAGGGTTAGGTGCTTCTATTCATTGACCTCTGATTTTAGGGATATATATATATATATATATATATATATATATATATGTATATGTATAAAATAATAATAATAATAATAATAATATGAAGATACTAATATTAATGAAAATAAATATTGTTGAAAAGGTTATTTATAACGCCATTAAAGGGATACTCCACTTTTTTTGGAAATAGGCTCATTTTACAACTCCCCCAGAGTTAAACTGTTGAGTTTTACCGTTTTTGAATCCATTCAGGCGATCTCCGGTTCTGGCGGTACCACTTTTAGCATAGCTTAGCATACATCATTGAAGTGGACAAGACCATTAGCATTTCTAAATAAAAAATTACCAAAGAGTTTAGATATTTTTCCTATTTAAAACTTGACTCTTCTGAAGTTACATCGTGCACTAAGACCGACGGAAAATGTAAAGTTGGAATTTTCTAGGCTGATATGGCTAGGAACTATACTCTCATTCCTGCGTAATAATCAAGAAACTTTACTGCCGTACCATGAGAGCAGCAGGCGTAATGATATGACGCAGCGCCTGAAAATAGTTCCGTTGTGTTGACGGAAGGTAGCCTATTTTCAGGCGCTGCGTCATATCATTACGCCTGCTGCACTCATGGAAAAACATCGAAACTCTTTGGTCATTTTTTTTTTTAGAAATGCTAATGGTCTTGTCCACTTCAATGATGTATGCTAAGCTATGCTAAAAGTGGTACCGCCAGAACCGGAGATCGGCTGAATGGATTCAAAAACGGTAAAACTCAACAGTTTAACTCTGGGGGAGTTGTAAAATGAGCCTATTTCCAAAAAAAGTGGAGTATCCCTTTAAGGTTCTATATAGCACTTTCAAAGCATGGTTCTTTCTGGAACCTTCTAAAATGGTTAACTATTTAGCACCAAAAAGGGTTCTGCTATAGTTAAAGCCGAAGAACCCTAATTTGGTACTGTTTAGAACCATTTTTCTTAAGAGTGTAGGATAGGGTTAGTTCTAAAGATTCAGACAGGAATGGTTTTCCAGGATCAACTAAAATATATTGATCCAGGAAAATGTCATACTTGGCAAAATCCAGACAGGACTGGTTTTCCAGGATCAACAAAATTATATTGATCCAGTAACATGTCGTACTTGGCAAAATCACAGTGACAGGTGTATGGATTTCACTTAGATAAAGTTCCTCACACCTGCATACAGATCTACATTTTGAGGTAATCATTCCTCACAGTAAGACAAATTGTTGTATTAAGTTATAAAGCTATAAATACTATTAAACGAGCCGCTGAAAGCACAACACAGATCAAGACAGCAGATGTATCACACAAGTGAAGTCTGTTTGACTGACAGCTTACAGTTTGTTCTGCTGCATTTGTTGTGCTTAGCTTTGAGAAAGAAAAAAAAGTGAATGCTATAAATATCGGTGATAGGAGATAAGTACACAGAGTCCTTTTAAATATTCCACACACATCACAATGATGTTGATGTGAAAACTCTGTATACGCAGTGGGGTTCAGTAGGCTCACATTGGAAATCAAGTTATTCAAAGTCTAATTTAAACATGAAAACAGTAACTTGACAAATAAAATAAAAATTTGGAAAATTGCTTTCGAAATGGCATAGTGATTAACTAGGAAACTTAAAAATGGCACTTCATGACAAAAGGTTGCCGACCCCTGTGCTTAACAACAAGGAGGCAGAAAGTAGGTAAATGACTGTACCTTTGACTTCTCAGCCATTTCCTTGATGGTGATAGACTTTGGGTCTTTCCCCACAGCGAGAACACTGGAAGACTGGCTCTCTGTGGTGTTCATGGGTTTCACTGGGTGAGGCCTAAGAAAGGAGAGATAGACATATTATCGAAATGAACATGAAAACTTTACTGCAAACAATGGCAAATAACTAGAGCATTTTCATTCATCTAAGAGGAGGATGTACACTTAAGAATAAAACCAACCCTTAGAAAAATTTAAATAAAGTAAACAAGGGCCCTTGAAGATGTACCCACTTCATTTTAGTAATCGATAAAGGAGCCGTGGATATGTTTGGAAGGGCGTACCTTATCGCTTATCTCATGCTAATAATTTTGTACTTTATGTTGCAAATTTTCTGTATGCACAGATACCCTTAGATTTGAGAAAATGTGCATTTACAACCAAAGCACACTACATAGGATACTGCATACCACAATTCGTGTTTGACCATTTCATGAGAAATGAATGACTGGCAAAAAGTTCAATTAAAAATCTCAAATAACCTTTCTCAGATGATAACTAGACACCTCTTGCTGACCTAAACATGCAATGTAGTAATAGAATACATGCGTCATGTTACGATGATGCATATGACATTTTTAAATGTTTGTTGCATACTATGTTTTTCACACACTAACTGCGGTATAAAGTGCATACTGTCTCGTAAGCAGAAAGCAGTTATTGGCATGGGTTAGTAAACCATTCCAAACTCACCCAATGTATAATTCCCAACAAAATCAAAAGATCAATAAAAGTACAGCAGAGAAATGTAAAACTCAAGTGTAAGCACCTTTGTGGTAGAGCAATTAAGAATCATGCAAAACATCACAATCTTCAGAACAAATATAAATTGTGCCCCAACACTTAATTTCAGTATTAACATGTGATCTCATAAGTCTCGTATGCATCACTTTTTTTATGTAAGCTTCAATGTGTATGTAAAGTAAATCTCACATCTACAGCCTTTCATATGGATCCAGTTTCATAAAACGTACACATTGTCAAGATAATCAATCTAATATGGCCTTCAAAAACAAAACAGAACGAAGAAACCCCTGTATTATTTGACACTGCCTCAGTTCTATTTACACAAGCTCTTAAAAGACAAATGACATTTTGAACCACAAATAGCAACAATCAATAGCAAAACCCCAAGCCCACAATCCCAACCCTCAAGATCCCAGGAAGCAGTAACCAACCACTAAGCCACCAATTGAACAAATGCCGAAGGGCAGAGATTGATTGAGGTAAAATAAAAAGATGCTGATTTAAAAGCTGATGGGTTTAGCACAATGGGGGTAACAGACTGTTAGAGTGAGTTGTTAGTAGGGGTCGGGAGAACGTCTCACCTTCTTGAATTAGAAACAGCACTTCCACTACTAACTGGCTGAGCCTCTGATGGCGAGACCCAAGCACGAAGTGTAGTCCTGCCCCCAATAGGGGATTCAGATGTTACTAGGGTAGGTTCTGTTCTGCTTGCTGGAGCAACACTAGTTACAGTCAACTCGACGTCTTCAGCATCTTGTGAAGACTGAGAAACGGATCTATCCAGACTACTATTCACTGTATCAGCTTTCCCAGTAGTTGTGATCTGGCGAGATGAAGGTTTCTTTCTAAGTGAAAAATTTCTATGAAATGACGCTCTGGCTTGTTCAGTAAAGCTGGGTGATGGTTTTCCGCGTTCTAATTTTGGTGCTGTGCCGTTTTCAGAAAGATTTGTGAATAGATCACTTGTTCTTTTGTTTGCAAATTTGTTATCTTTTTTATCAATGGTTGACGCCTGATCTTCAGGATTTCCCATTTTCTTTGTGCCCCTTGTGAACAGGCTGTCTTCATTTGTGGTCTGCTGTGGTAAAGCCCAGGGATCTTTAGATATAAAGTTATCACTTGGAAATGGGTCAAAAGCAATCATTCCCTTCCCCTCAGGTTCATTAGTCAGTTTCCCCAAAGGTAGTTCTTCTAGAATTTCAGCAGTTTTAATGTGATTTGCTTCAATAAAAATGTTTTCCTTCTGGCCCTTGTGAGGATTCTCAACTTTGTTGTTTTCTAACATCATGGGTTGAGCTGTTACTTGCTTGTCTGGTTGGACTTGTCTGACTGGGTCCTTAACTAATGACTGTTGTCTGGGTTTGACTATAGGCATCTCTTTAGCCACATCATCAGTCTTTGAATTAACATTTTGAATGGCTCTGGCAGCTGGCGTAGGCTTCTCTTTTGGCTGGGAGAGTTGATGGTTAATGGCATCAGGAGTCTGAGTTTTCCTTTCCATCTCCTGAGGTATATGTCGACTTTGGACAACGGGAGGTGACTTATTTTCCATGTGATTGGAGTTTTTAGGCTTATTGACCATAGAATATAAAGGCTCTCTGATATGACCATGTTGGACATTAGGCTCAACTGATGGTTCTGGTGTTGCAGAAGCTTTGGGTGCTTCTTTCTTTGCTTCTTTGTGCCTGGCAGGGGCAGGGGGAGGTACATCATTCTTCCTTTGGTGCTGGTTAAGGTTTGCTGAGGTTCTGTCCTTTAAGGCCGCATACTTATTGGTCATCGGCTTCTCTGGTCCATCTACATTAATCTCTTCAGAGAAATCCCAGTTCCTCTGGTTTACCTCTGCGATAATATGGTCCCAACGCGTCTGACTCATCACCCCATGCCTCTTCTTGGGAAAGAGGGTTTCATAGTCTGGAAGAGGAAGAGCCGGTCTATCTTTGGCGTTCTGGGTATGCACTTGCCCCCCATTTTCAGGATGGCTTTCAGTCTTGGACGAGCCTCCATGATTACCAGGGGGTAGAGGAGCCTTTCGTTTCTTGTCAGATTTGGGAGCTGAGAGGTTTTCCATGGACTCACTTGACTCAATGAAACTCCTCTGAGGTTTAGGAGGTGCCAAAGATGAATGTAGATCGGAAAACATGCCAAAAGACTCAAATGAATCAGTAGCGAGGGATGGGGAAAGTGGAGAAGCGTGGATAGTGCTCTGGGTGTCTACAGAGTCTGAAGGGGATTGGGAATGGCTATTATCGGTTTCATGCAGTACACTCAGAGCCAATCTGCCAAAGAGTAAAAACATAAAATCGTCAACTTACAGCTATACCAGTGCTTACAATCCCATATATTTCTGCTGGGCATTACTACTGCAACTGAAAACACTAAGTTCAATCCATTTAATATGTACAGCACAGGACCCTCCTGTCTAAACCCTATTATCACAACTCAATACCTGACATCTAGCCTACACTTTATATGAACATTCAAAACAATAGAAACAATGTCTTTTTACTATTAAATTACTTGTATATATACACACAACACACGCATTTTACTACATAAAAATACATTTACTATTATTATTGTAAATATTAATCATTTACTTCTATTCTAGTTTTTAAACATAAACCCCAGATAGACACGATGAAATGTACCCTGCACTTCCAAGTCTAAGAAGGTCCACAGAAACAAAGACAACAAAACATATTCCTGTCTCTTTCTATTCTCAGCTTTTGGAAAATTAGTTACTTACTCACCATAATAGTTAAGCACCACAAAACAGAAGTTCCTAAAATCCCTAGAACTCCCAGTACAAATACAGTTTTCCCTAAGACAATGTCTCTTAGTCACATAGTCTGTAAGAGTACAAGATCATCATCTTTCACAACTTGTTTCACTCCATTCCAGAAGATTAGCACATGACGATCCAGTACACATTCCTTCCTCCACTAACCAATCAAATGCCTTCGGCAAAACAGGTTAAGTTAGTTACATAGGGTCAAAATGCAAACCATTTAATACAATAAAACCTATTCTGAGTACACTTTGTGGTCATAAAAATGAACAAACACTGAATGCCATAAATAACGTATAAGTTAGGCTATATTTAGCATGCGTAAAATTCGGCACATTTTATTTATATTGACCTAAAGTATTACAGGTACAGCACTCAACAGAAGATTGAATGAAGAGCTTTTTATTTGACTAAATCACGGTGATACAACATATTCCACTTTCACCCAAGGGTATGAAACTCAGTCATACCTGAACACCCCCATCCCCCATCTAGTTGAGAAACAATGATTTCATCCCATCCTTACAGAAAACGCACACCCATACACACACACACTTCCAAAATGGGATACAGCTGTGCCGAGAGACAAAAACAAAAATGCTAAAAGCTAATGGAGGTCTTTGAACGAGAAACACTTCAGTAACAACCTCAGTGTGTAGCAATTTGAACCGTTTCACTAAAACTTCTTGTGCACTTACTCTCTTGACCTGTTTTTGTTCGCAACTTCAGATCTTCTGTTATTAATCATCTGTTAAAGCAATTTTCGCAAGTCTAAATGAAGGAGATCTTCTTTAAGAGCAGTAGAGTAGACAGAGGTGAGAGGAGTCGAGTTTCAGCCTGGGTTTCCCTCAGCTCTCAGGTGGCAAGATACTAACTGCATTACAAGGCAGCCTGACGCATCATTCAGCATGCAGCCTCAGCATGAGGTCGGCTGAATATAATACAGACCTCTACATTTTTAGTTTCTTTTTAGATCTTATAAGAATGCTTAAAAAACATGGTGTTTAAAAGAAAAGCAACTAACATGGAGCTCAATGGTAGAACAATGCTCAGATAGTTCCCTGGGGCTGATTTAGAGCTGACTGATATTAAGGACAATGATAGTTAATTTATAAGCACATGGAAAGTCTCATCTATATAATAATAATGTTTCCAGTTCACTACAAACCCTTTGTTTCAAAACATAAGAGTCCACATGTAAGTGTTTTGCTTAAAACTATTATTATATATGCTATAATATATATATATATATATATATATATATATATATATATATATATATATATATATATATATATATATATATATATATATATATATATATATATGACAGGTAAACATTTTGGTGTCAGTAATATTTGTATGTTTTATTTGATCAAAGATACTATAAAAACAGTAATATTGTGAAATATTACAATTTAAACCAACTGTTTTGTATTTTAATCTATCTTAAAATGTAATGTATTTCCGTGATGGCAAAGCAGAATTTTCAGCATCATTACGCCAGTCGTCAGTGTCACATGATCCTATAGAAATCATTCTAATATGCTGATTTGGTGCTAAAGAAACATTTCTTATTCTTATTAAATGTTGGTAACGGTTGTTCAATATTTTTTTGTGGAAACAAAATTTATATTTTCTTTGAGGTATAGAAAGTTCAAAAGAACAACATTTATTTAAAAAAAAAAAAACATTAATAAATTTCTTTACTGTCTCTTTTAATCAAATTAAATGGATTCTTGCTAAATAAAAGTTTTTTTTTTTTTTTTTTTTTTGTTAAATATAATTAAGGCGTTGTTGAAGCATTAATAATACAATATTAAGCAACAATATAACATGTACAGAAATTAACAGATTTTATCTATAATATTTATCTAGTTATATTTCTTAACTGTCACCGTCCCACAGGTGGGACGTTTGCCATTATATTTTTAAAACAATAATATCTTAGTAATATTGACAAACTATATATCATTTGAAAGCTTACTATCTCTAGTTTCCATATTTGGTGATTGATTTTCAAAATAAATTACAGAGGAGCCGTAATTTATCAATTTGCAACAAGAATATTTTCATACTCCTAAGGCGTGTTCAGACCTTTATTTTGAAATAGCAATGAACATGAAAAATCATGAAAAAAAATTGTAGAAACCTAGTTTGTTTTCATGCCAAGAGTTCAAAAGATAGCATCCATTAAGTTATTTTAGAAAAAAGGTCTGAAAATGTTTTAAATATAAAGAAAAAAATAATAAATTCACCATTTGTGATGTGGCAGCGAGCTATGACGCACATGCGTGTTCTTTGTATGTGTTTATTAGAGGTTGAATTCATGTCAAAATCTGCCAAACTTCCCATACTACTTCTGAATAGGATCTCTACTTCATAAATTGTATGAAAATTGTGGAAATAATGGTTCATATCACTCAAAACACATATGGAAATGGAGGCGCCCTTATATGGGCAGTAATGGAGTCTGGTTGTGACCTAGTGAAAAAGTTTGGTACTGCGCCCAAACAAAATCTTACTGAAAGCTCATTTTTTGAGATATCAACCTAAAATTTGAAACACAACTTGATCAGATTTTTGGCTTTGATTTTTCTGCAGTTTTAGAGTAGCCCAGGTTTTGAAAATATATATTTTATATAAAATATGAATAATATTTTTTTTTACATTGTACATTTCCATAAACTCAAACTTCTATAACTTTTTTTCTGTTTCACTTTCTTAATTTATTTCACTTCTACATAAATCTGCCAAATGTCTTCTTTAAAACAAGACCGATCTTACGTCTATATTCCAAAGCATTCTTGAATTACAACCATTTATGTTCGAAATGTGCATTTTCATGTCAATTCAAAAAAAGGGGGGTGACAGTTAACAGGTTAAACATTTTAATGACATTAAACTTAAAGCCCTAAAGCCTTTTTCTTTTTTTGCTTTTGAACTTACTATTAAAACATCTGAATCAACAGACACGGATATACTGCGGGTTAAATAACAAAAGCATTTTTAAATGTCAAATAATGTTAATTGATCAAATTATTATTATTATTATTATTATTATTATTATTATTATTATATGTAGGCCAACACCTTTTATGTATTTCACATTAATTAAGTCACCTCTGTCTGTGATTATGATGCACATAATATCCTCACTGCACAGGAACCCTCCAAAACTCCCTCCCTGATATAAATGTTTAGATTTATTTGAATGCAGATATGGTTTGGATTAACGTGTCGGGTGTTCTGGTACGTAAAGCAGGTCGGGGCGGTCACCAAACAGGACCCAAGCAAGACTCTGGTTAAACTAGTGTAACAAGCACTACAGGAAACTTACTGGTCAATCAATCGTGCATTAAAATCACAATATTGCTTAATATTAGATCACTATTAATTGCATAGCAAATTAGTGAATTTTCACCCAGCCATTTATTAAGAGGAGGTTCATCAATACATGCACTCACCTCGGCTTGACGGCAGACACTTTCGCTGTGCGACTGGGGAGAGCAATAGCTGTTGGCGCTGGGGTGGTCCTAGCGCCCCTCCGTGGGTCCGTGGATCTCTCTTCTGGGAATGAGGCTGGGTTATCCGGGGAGAGGGGAATGTCTTCAAACGGGTTTATGGAGGAGCGCACATCCAGACGTTTGGGTTCATTCTTTGCTTCCTCTCTCTTCTCCTCCTTCTTCCTTCCGATGCCAAAGAGAGAGGAAAGGCGTTCGCTTACTCTGGATTCCTCGTGGTGCCGCTGCTCCTCGGCCCGCTGCGTCTCCTCCTCGCTGCCTTTCTTCTGCAGCTCTTCCTCTTCCTTGCGCTTCTTCTCCTGCTCTTCAAGTCTGCTTTTCCTCTCTTCCTCTTGTTTTCTCTCTAGTTCTTGCTGCTTCATCGACTCTTTTTCTTCCTGTCGGTCCAGCATCTCTTGAAGGCTTCTTCCTCCGGGTTTCCTACCCTTCTCCTTCTCCACCGCCTCTACTTGACTGAGGCTCCTGTCCTCTAGAGGGCTCTGTGAGGCAAGAGGAGTTTTGTCTAGCACTTCAGGCTTGTATGAGGGGATGCTCAGCCCTTTAATTGAGTCGATGGACATGTCGGAAGCATTTCTTTGATGGTGTTTACGAACATCCTCAACTGAACCCTTTCCTGAGCTGTTCAGACTGAGTGTGGAGCCAAAAGCAGCTTTCGGTTCTTGTTCCTCAGCATAAACATGGTTGCCGTTGATACACAGGTTATTCTGCTCCGGGATGTTTTGTTTAGAGCGGCTCAGAAGAGAAAAGGGGCCAAGAGACGCTTTGCTATCTGAGCTGTCAGTGCGCTTGTGTCCCAGAATTTTAAACCTCTTTTTCACTGCAAGAGAAAATAGAAGACAATATGTATTAAAACAGCAATGTCGATGAGCTCCAAAATGTATTTGGATAATATCAGAAACTTAAGCCACACTACACCAACTTTTTGATTTGTAACTGGTGTCAAGGCGAATTCTAGTAGATGTATGAGCTACATATCAAATTATATTTAGATAAAAAAACTGAAAGAGACTTCTTTCAAAGACATTTAGAAATATCTTAATTACTCCAAATTTGTGACTGTTAGTGTACATTTCTACAACAAACATTTTAAATGAATAAAATGTGATCCATGTCTGAATACTTTTTATAGATGATTATTATGCAAACTGGTAAAAGCCGACATTTAAAAGCTTAATCTAAAGGGGGAAAAAAGAAAAAGGTGGGATGGGGGGGGATTCATATATTTGGACTAGATGCATAACCTTTGACCTTACCATCAGGAGAGTCCACATTAAGGCCGGACGATCTGCTGCTGCTGAGTGAACTGTTCTTCTCAGGCAGGGTGCCCAAGGTTGACATGGACTGGGACACATTCCTTTGGAGGTTTGTCTTTGGTCCAAAAAAGGATTTCAGTTTCGATTTCTTCTTAGGAGTGTCTGAAGCACCCTCTCCTTCTCCTTCACTGTCGGTTCCCACTGAGGAGGGCACGATCGCAGAGGCAGAATCCGACAGGCCGTCTTTCTTCTTACCACGAATTTTATCCTTGAGCTTGGAGATGCCAGAGCGAGGCTTGTCTGTCATGGAGAGGTCAAACATGCTGGCCGACAGGTTATTCCTCATGAACTGAATGTCCAAATGAACTTCCCCTCGGTCCTTCTCTTGTTTCCCATTCTTATCCACCAGCTTGTACCAACTGCAAAGAGAAACAAACAAGGTTTTCATTAGATTGCATGACAGTTGTGCTTTTTATTTATTTTTTCTTGTTAAAGGGGTCCTGTTATGCTTTTTGACATTTTCAACTTTCTTAAGTGTATAAAGTTTCTGTTTGAGGATGAAAAAAGGTCTGCAAAGTTAAAAAGCACAAAGTCAATCCAAAGGGAGTGAAACTCCTCCATTGTAGTGTTGAGTTTTCTTCCGGTAATGTACACTCACGATATTCCTCATTTAAATAATTCCCGCCTAAGGCATACATAAGTTGCATTAGCAGTGTGTTGAACCTCGTGGTACAGCCGACCAATCAGAGCACATTGCTATTTTCAGAAGGAGGGGCTTCATAGAGACAGGAACTAAACAGAGCGTTACTGACGGACTGGGAAAATAGGTGTTGCAATAATCTAAAATATGTGAAAAATAATGTGTTTTTTGAACATTCAAATATGAAACCCTATCCCAGTAGACTCCAAAAACAAAATCAAGACTTCGAATAAGGGCATAATAGGTCCCTTTTAAGGATTATCATTTATTTGAATTATTTTAGCTTATTTAAAGTCTTATTTTTAAATCACAATAAAGTAAATAAAACTATTAGAAATAATTTGTGCTCATTAAAATAAAGCTAAAATAAAAAATAAATATTAGAAAAAAGAACACTTTAAAAACATTTAAAAAAAAAGTTGTCTTGGCAAATAACTAAAATAAAAGATGAAGTTGAAGCACTAAAATGACAAAAAATTAAATAAGTTTGAAAAAAGTTAAATAGTAATAAAAAGGCACATAAAATTACTAAATATTACCAAATACTAAATAATGCTAAAATAACACTGCATATGTTACGCAAGTAATTTATGATTTAAGTGTCATTTTGGAAACATTTCATATATGCATAATTGTTGCAATTTTCTTTTTTCTTTTGTAAAGAAAATGTTGCATCTTTTTTTTAAATATATTAAAAAAGACTTGTTTGTGTGGGGAAAGAACTGTAGAAGAACCCTGTAATCTCCGGCTGGTTGTACATTATTATTATTTGTATTATGTGAGAATAAGGCCACAGAGTGATCATTAGCATTCATTCATTATACAAAAAAAGAAATTATGCTGCACCTGACCATTCAGAACTAAATAATTTAGAGAGTCGAACATGACTTTAGCATAACCCTATGCGCACACATGATTAAGTGGTTAAGATCCGGGGTATGATACCCTTTTTTAATTTTATTATATAAGCTAAACTCATTGATTTAAATGGTGGTGGGATCAAAACTAAATTACTGTATACAAATAGAGAGGCCAGATTTTCACGTGGGAGTTGTTGAACCCTGTGCCAGTAAATGATCCAGGTCAGAGAAGCCCTCCTACTGATGAAATAAAGGGAAAAATGTCTTTGTTTAGCCTACGCTTGTCCACTCATTTCTGCTCTGTAATTTTTTCAGCAGAGCAGCAGGTAGGAGAGTTCTGGAGTTCAGTATCTGTAATCATGAACAAGCCATTATCCGCCCACGCTGTTGTCATAATAGACTCCTGAACACTGGGATCATGGGTAATCTACAGTCACACTGACACCAAACAGCGGCTCCCACAGATGAATCAGATTAAACGTGGCATGTGCTCAGAGGAAGCAGCCGCTGCAGAATTCCGAGCATTTAGGTTTGGACCCCCACAGGACAAGAGTTTTGGACAGAATGCTACTACAATTTTGAGAAATATTAAAATATAAATCATGCACATTTAATTTTTCCCTTTTAGAATAACACGTAAAAGCAATTTCAGTATTTGTAAAAAGGAAAAATGTATATTAATGAAATAATATATATTTATAGGATTTGGGTTTGAAAACTTAACCCTAGTACATAGTTAATTATAATTACTCAGTACTTTAATGTATAATTAATTACCCGTGTTTGGTAAGTTACTCTAGTAATTAATCTCTAGCTACTTACATTTGTAATAGTGTAATTAAATTACTGTACTAATTACTTTTTCTAAAAAGTATTGCATTACTTATTACTATTTACTTTCCAAATCCCATATCAACCTCAATCAGTTGAACAATACAATACATGAAACTGCAGTTTTAATTCCTTCAAATAAATATAAAGTTGTATAAATTATGCTTGACGTTAATTTGATGTTAAACCCACTATTGCGTTAGATAGAATTGTTCTATAGTCTATACTAATTAATGCAATTACATCAGAAGTAACTCATTAAATTACCCAAAAATGAAGAGTAATCCCTTACTTTACTTTTTCAAGGGACAAGTAAATAAATTAGTCATTACTTGGTAATGCATTAATTACACTGTAACACTGGCACCTTAAAATAAAGCGTAACCATTCATTCTTATTAAATAGGAGTCAGAAAACAGCATTCATTTTGTTGTAATTTCCTAATATAATCACTCAAATTAATGTTTAATGGTAAACGGATTAAAGATCAGCAGACAGGCTGTCAAATCATAAAGTGATATGCTGTTTTTTTTCCTCACAAAAGTCAATTGTGGCCAGCTATTATATTAAGACTGTGCCTTTAGTACTGTATGATCAACTTGCAGTTAGTCAAGGGGTAATCAACCTTACGTTTTGATATCAAATTAAACCAATCTACATTTTTACGTAACTATGAACAGTCCTAAAAAAAAAAAAAAAATGTGATTAACTTGTAAAAATGGTCTTTATCAGTTTATGCAACCGGCCCATGAACTCAGCATATTGAAGCCTATTTTCTATTGACATACACTAAAAAAGCGAAATCGTTCTCACTTCAAGGTGTCCAATAATGATAATGAAAAACCATGCATTATAAATTCAAACCCTTTATATAACAAATATATTTCCTTTTCATTAAGCCCTGAATGAATGTACATTTTTCAGTGTTTTGTTGTGCAGAAACGCTTCACCTTTATGTTTTTTTTCAAAGAATAATACTGTAGTTCAAAATACTCTCATTTATGCTTGGAATCCCATCCAATGGGAAAAACTATAGAAGCCCAAGACCAGGAAACAGAGACTATCAGTCCGTTAGTGGACCGTATGCACTCGGACCACAGCAGGAAACTCAAATCTGGAGTTTCGGGGTGGGGAAAGACTAAAGGGAAATCATGCCTATCAGCAATCGAAGCTCAAGGAATGTTCTTCATGAGGTCACTGTTTAGAATTTGATAAGGAAAGTTCTTTCAAGATAATCCAGGCCTATTTACATTATCTTCTTCTCTAAAGTTTGTTTGGGCCAAAGGGGAAGTGAACCACAGCAAAATGCTTGACAAACGGAGCACAGAATAATCACATCGAATACAGATATTTAGGACTTGACCTTTTTCTTTTAATAGATCACCTTGCAGTAAAACCCATTTTTATAGCCTCTTTCATAAGCATATCTTCAATACATCATTCTCTCGCAGCTCTCAGGAATCGATACAAATGGTCGTGCCTGAAAGATCTTTGTTACCTGAGACAACATTAGAAAAATTTGACGAATGGACTTCATGTGAACATACAACACATCCCTCACTGCAGCTAATCTAACACACACACACACAGGTTTATCTCTTTATACAGGGAAAAAGTAACTCAAACAAACATTTGCGGCTCCTAATCTAAATTCAGCTGCAATCATTAACTCTGTCTGAGAAGGGCACTGTGAACTATGCTGTGTTCTTAAAAGCCTTCTATCATTTGGAGAGATAAACTATGGAAGCTTGTTTCCGCCACTGAATGAAAAATAAAAAAGGTAATTGCGACTTTCTTACAATTCTGACTTTTTTTTCTCACAATTGCGAGTTTACATCTCGCAATTCTGACTTTATTTCTCAGAATTGCGAGATGTAAAGTCAGAATTGCATGATATAAAATCGCAATTGCGTGTTATAAAGTCAGAATTGCGAGATATAGTCAGAATTGATTGATATAAAGTCAGAATTGCGTGATATAAAGTCGAAATTGCGTGTTGTAAAGTCAGAATTGTGAGATATAAAGTCGAAATTGCGTGTTGTAAAGTCAGAATTGTGAGATATAATCTATTCTGAGGGGGAAAAAGTTAGTCTTTTTCCCCCTTAGAATTGGCCTGATAACTCGCAATTGCGAGTTTATATCTCACAATTCTAAGAAAAGATGTCAGAATTGCGAGATGTAAACTCGCAATTGTGAGAAAAAAAGCCAGAATTGTGAGATAAACAGTCGCAATTCTGTCTTTTTTTTTCTCGCAATTGTGACTTTATTTCTCAGAATTGCGACTGTCTCGCAATTGCGACTTTATTTCTCAGAATTGCGACTTCATATCTCGCAATTGTGAGATAAAGTCGCAGTTATTTTTTTTTTTTTATTCCGTGGCGGAAACAAGCTTCCATAATTAACATGTCACATTTATACAAAAATCCAGGAAGTAGATCTACTGAACGATTTCATCCAGATTCACATTATGACGGTGAATTAAATCTGTTTTAAGGGATCAGTTCATGCACGTAAAGGACGAGCCTTCATCTATTAGTTACACTCTTTTTGAGGGACTAAAAGATGGCTTTCAAGCAAGGTTACTAAGGTTCTAGCAAAAAGAATGTTTCGTAAGCAACTCCGGTGTTGGATGTAAGGCTGCATTCACACTGCAGGGGCTTAATGCTCCAATCCGATTTTTTGAAAAAATTCGAGTTTTTTGCAAGGTGTTCACATTTCCAATTAAATGCGACCTTTTTTGATCTCCTGTGTGAACATGAAATGACCCAGAAGTTACCCGCATGCGCAGAAGAGTACTCAACGGTCAACGACGTCACTTGTTTGCGGAAGTAGCTAAACATGAATGTCAACAGTGGAGCTCGTTTAGCAATATTAAAGTTATTTGTGTGGGTGCGGAGTCGCAGCCAGGAGTGGTGGGATACTGATGTGAGTGGCTTCACTAATACAGAATTCATCAGTAACTTCCGAATGACCAGATCCACCTTCGATTATGTTTGAGCACCTTCGATTAACTCTGTCACGGGAAGAG